GGGGAGCTGGATTATGAGGACTCTGCGTTCTATGACGTTGATGTAGAAGCTCATGATGGGCCCGGTCTGCGAGCCAGGGGTAAGGTGCTGGTGACAGTTCTGGATGTAAATGACAATGCTCCCGAAGTCACTGTTACCTCCCTCACCAGCTCTATCCAAGAAGCTTCTTCCCCAGGCACAGTGATTGCGCTCTTCCACGCGCATGACAGCGACTCTGGAGAGAATGGCCTTGTCACTTGCTCTATTCCAGATAATCTTCCATTCAGGCTGGAAAAGACCTATGGAAATTATCATCGGTTGTTGGTTCACAGGACTCTGGACAGGGAAGAAGTCTCCGAATATAACATTACAGTAACAGCCACCGACCAGGGAACTCCGCCACTGTCTACAGAGACTTATATCTCCTTGCAGGTGGTGGACATCAATGACAACCCACCCACCTTCAGCCATGCCTCCTATTCTGCCTACCTCCCAGAAAACAACCCTAGAGGAGCTTCCATCCTCTCCATAACAGCCCAGGACCCAGACAGTGGTGAGAATGCCCAGATAACCTACTCCCTGACAGAGGACACTATCCAGGGGGCACCTCTGTCCTCCTACGTCTCCATCAACTCCAACACCGGTGTTCTCTACGCACTACGTTCCTTCGATTATGAGCAGTTTCAAGACTTGAAGGTACTAGTGACGGCCAGGGACAGTGGGAACCCTCCACTCAGCAGCAACGTGTCACTGAGCTTATTTGTGCTGGACCAAAATGACAACACACCCGAGATCCTGTACCCCACCCTCCCCACTGATGGCTCTACTGGTGTGGAGCTGGCGCCCCGCTCAGCAGAGCCTGGATACCTGGTGACCAAGGTGGTGGCTGTGGACAAAGACTCGGGACAGAACGCCTGGCTGTCCTATCGCCTGCTCAAGGCCAGCGAGCCGGGGCTGTTCTCTGTGGGGCTGCACACGGGCGAGGTGCGCACTGCCCGGGCCCTTCTGGACAGAGATGCCCTGAAGCAGAGCCTGGTGGTGACCGTGCAGGACCACGGCCAGCCCCCTCTCTCTGCCACAGTCACACTCACCATAGCCGTGGCAGACAGCATCCCCGACATCCTGGGGGACCTGGGCAGCGTTGACACTCACATGGACCAGGAAGATTCAGACATCACGCTGTACCTGGTGGTGGCCGTGGCGGTGGTCTCTTGTGTCTTCCTAGCCTTCGTCATTGTGCTGCTGACGCTCAGGCTCCGTCGCTGGCACTCAAGCCGCCTGCTTCGGGCTGCAGGCAGCGGGCTGTCGTCCATGCCTCCATCACAGTTTGTGGGCGTGAACGGGGTGCGAGCTTTCCTACAGACCTACTCTCACGAGGTCTCGCTCACTGCAGACTCTGGGAAGAGTCACCTCATCTTCCCGCAGCCCAACTACGCAGACACGCTCCTCAGCCAGGAGAGCTGTGGGAAAAGCGAGCCTCTCCTGGTGTCTCAAGACTTGCTTGAGGTAAAAGGAGACTCCAGTGTTCTTCAGGTGAGTGGTTCGCTCCCATTGGGGATCTTATCTTACTAAAACACAGGCATGGGGTTCTGTAAAACGCCTCCAGTTTTATGTGTGTTGTATCAAAAATACCACTTCTTTAGTAATAATCTCTTACTTTAAAAGGAATAATGATTAATGATAGTCACTACACAAAAAGTTATTTGTTGATTATAACCTTATTTTGTTGTATAATGATTGGAGTTAAATCCAGGCTTTTGGGCATATTAGGCAAGGCCCCTGCCACCAAGGTATACCTCAAACCATGATTATCTATTATTTATGCTTTATGGTCTTCATTCAGTAATTTTATACTTCTAAACCGTTCTCTCTTTAAATGCCACTTTCCTATGTACATTGATGAAAGACCAGAATTGACATGTGAATAAAAGGCAAATTGCACAATTTTCAATTTACGTCACCTTTCTCATGATACTAATGGGAAATCTAGGCTGAAATTTTGTTTTTGGTCTTTTGAGACAGGGTTTCTCTGTGTAGCCCTGGCTGTCTTAGAACTTGCCCTGTAGGCCAGGCTGGCATTGAACTCACAGAAATCTACCTGCCTCTGCCTCCCAAGTGCTAGGATTAAAAGAATTTGCCACCATGCCCAACAATTTAGGATGAATATTTAAAAACATTTTTACTACAGTTTCACTTACTCTGTGTGTGAGTGAGTGAGTGAGTGAGTGAGTGAG